TTTTGATATTATGAATAAAGTGGTTATCAACATTCCATACAGGTATTTTTGTGAATGTGTTTTCATTTCTTTTAGGTAAATAGCTAGGAGTAGAATTGCTGGATCCTATGTTAGGTGTCTATTCAACCTTATAGGAAACTGCCAGTTTATATAATACACTCTTAATTAATAAACTTGATTACCATATGAAATGAATTCTTTTTGTCTTTATGATTTGCTATGATTTTCAATTGTATCAATATGCTATGGGTACACATTCTTCTGAAAAATATTTTTAAAGATAAGATTATATTACTTTAGTGGGTTTTTTTTTTAATGCTTCTAAATTGTTTATACAACTTTGAATCTGGAAGACTCATTGGAAAACCTGAATGATGATCTTGTTCATGAATCTCTTGCATATTTTTATTATCTTCTTTAATGTTTAATACATACCAAATACGTATGTTACTTATAAAGCATAATTACAAAATGGAAGTTTGTAAATCCAACACTCAATCCAATAATGAACATATTTCCAAGAACTTTGCATGTGCCTAGGGGGCTCTCTCTGCTCCAATGGAATTAATATCCTTTATTAATCCTCTTGCTAAAACAAAAGCAAAACAAAACATTTTATCATGCATTTAATTTTCTTGCTGTAAAAAAAAGTGCAGTAATTTTTTAGTTTTCCTTGCTTTTAAGAGTTTTATGGAAATGGTGTCATGCTGTGGGTTGTTTTTCTGAACTTGTGTGTTTTTACTTGATATTGTATTTCAAAGATCTACTCATGTTTCTTTTGTTTGTACTTCATTCACTTTTGCTACTGAATAACATTCCTTTCTGGGAATATATCACAACATACTGTATTACTTGTAACACTTGTCAATTGTTGTTTGTGCTGTTTCTCATCTTTTCCCTTAATATATATTACAACTTTGGAGAGTCTGGCACATTCAGCAGAGTCTTGGACGTTCAGCAGAATAATTTGAGCTAAACCTGTAACTGCATAAATAATTTTTAAAAAATGAAAACAAGCTATCAGCTTGTGCTCCAAAAGAAAGAGAATCTACAGGATACCTGAGGCAAGTGGTGTACAAATTGTGTGTGTGTGTGTGTGTGTGTGTGTGTGTATGAGACAGAGAGAGAGAGAGAGAGAGAGAGAGAGAGAGATTGATTCATCAGGGTGGTTGTGAAGAATAATTGGAGTCTTCACATATTAATTGGATATTTGTCTATATGATTTCATTCCCAAGATTTTTTTTTGAGGGGGGGCAGGGTTGAAAGCTTGATTGGATAGGCAAAACAATTACAAAGAAATAAAATCATTTTTCTTTTTTTTGGTCAATGTGATCAAGTTAGAGCCTAAAGGCAATTTACATTTTGTTTTCTTCCCCTAAATAGTAAGCTATATAATAAGTACTTCATTGTCTAAATTTATTAGTCATATTGACTTCCTACTACTTTAGGAAAACACATTTTAAAAACTCACAAATGAAAAATCATTTTTGTAAATGATTTTGTAAATATTTTGTAATTTTTTTTTTATAAATAAGACATAAAGTCTTATTTAACACCTACAAAGGACTGTATGCATATCTCTTTATTCTATATATCTTCTTATGTTCTTGGGAAAAATAAATGAGCATTTTCATTACTAACACTAAAAATGTATTGTGTAGTATTTTAAAACTTTATGTTGCCCTAATCTTCTAAAAACCATTACCAAACTTTTGTCTTATTGTAAATGTCTTTAAAAAGTCTGAACACCAAATATAATGAAAATATAATGTTGATATTCCTTTGCACTTAAAGTATTCTGCTGAAAGTACTAGAGTGGATCTGCAGGCATTGAGATCAATCTCATGGAGGGTATGCTCTGAAGACATATTTAAAATTTAGTAGGCTGACTTTTAATTATTCATGTGTATTGCCTAATTTTTAAATGATGAATGCTAAAACTGAGATTTTAATACATTTGTTAATGTTCAAGCACATGTAAATCTGGAATATGTTATTTAAAAATTAAGCCGAATTTTAGTTAAACAAAACAAAAATCCCACATGCATAACTCGCTTAAGTAAAAAACAAAACAAACAAACAAACACAACAAACACAAGGTTTATTTCTTTCTATACAACGGACTCACTGAATTGAGCTAAAAATTTTTAAGGGGAAAACTGATCTAGAAAATAAATACAAAAAAAATGATAGCTTTTGATCTATTTTCTAGCTCTTAATTTAAAAGATGATTTATGAATGATGGGCTATATAGTGTGATGCGGAAAACTTTTACAATTCGAGAGTATTAAAAAAACAAAAAACAAAAAAACCAACCACCGTTCTTTCCTATAGAATAGGTCCCTTCTACCAGACAGTGTGATTGTTTATAAGACACTTTTACCCGATCTAGATATCAACGACTCTCTTGTTTGCCATTTTCTTCTTCTTCTTTCAATTGATTATTGACATCGATTAGCCCGAGTCATGAAACCCACCACATTCAGGGCGACACGTGGTCCATTCACTATTTTTAAAAGTCCATGTATTTCAAACTCCTCTTTCCAGCCATCGCTGGGTATTTCCTCCTTTTGAGGACCTGACCTCCGCAGCAGCATTTATTCATGAGATGGCAGTCCTGGGGAAATCTCTCTTTGGGGAAACATCTCCACTGGCACATTCGGGAAAAACTACTGAGGAGACTTGGGTTGGTGCTAGTTTCTAGCCACTTACGTATCAAACGAAGCAAGAGGACGTGCGGGGAGGGGGAGAGGCAGGTGCGGGTGGGTTTCCGCAGTGGTCACCGATCCTGGGTGCGTGCCGCATGTTCCTAGGTTGTGACCGGACCCTGAAGAAGCGTCCCGGTGCGGGTCCCGGCCCCCCCCATCCCTTTCTCTGTGGCCCCTCAGACACGCCCCCCAGCTCCCGGGCCCAGCAGCCCAGCACAGTGCACGCGCCCCGGCCGCTCTCCGCAGCCGCCCACGTGGTGGAGCCCTGAGCAGCGTGAGGCCTCAGAGAGCGCACTGGGCGGGCGGGCGGATCGGGGAGGCTACGCCAGCACTACCCAGCAAGAGTCGGCCCCCAGCCCGGGCCCCCACATTTCCTTCCCCGGAGGGAGGGAGGCGACACTCCACGGGCCAGCCCTCCCCGGCGGCTGCCGCGCCCTCTGGCGGCCGCCGTGGGGACGCGCCTTGGGCATGCGGGACCGCCTGTCTGGGCCCCCCTTCCCGGGCTTGGGGCCCGCGGCGGGCTCTCACCCCTAGCGCCCCAGAGCCCAGCCACCAGGACCCGGCCCTTCCCCTACAGCTCCTCGAGAGACCCTGGAACTCCGGACACCCCGGTTGCGATGCTGCAGGCATCGAGCCTTGCGTGAAAAGTGCCAGCCATAGTAGCCTGGGGGTCCCCTTTCTCCCAGGTGTGCCCTTCCTGCCACATTCGGGCTTCCCAACACGCTGCGAAAAAATGCCGCATGCACGCACTTATTTATTTATTTAGCAACAGCTACAAGAAACAATGAAGCTTTTCAAGAACCGGGGAAACGCGCTTCCCAGCCCCGCTGTTGTTGTTTTCAATGAACCTCTCCGGGCTCCTCACTCCCCGCCCACCCGGCCCCCTCCTCTCCCCTGCCTTCCCCGCCGCGGAACCCGG